CTTCTCTCTCTCTCTCTCTCTCTCTCTTCCCTTCCCTCGCGCGCGCGCCCATTGGAATTGCGTTGCACGCCGGGCGGCGCGTACACCGGCGCCGGTTGACCCTGACATTCGAGAAGCCGGGCGGGCGAGACGCGCATTCGCGATCTCGCGCGCGCAGGAGCGACATCGCGCCTCTGTGTTCCGACTCGGCGAACGGTACAGCGGTGAACGAACGTAGTACGAATGAGAAGAGGACGCGGGAAGACGGAGATTGCGTGAACGCGCGTAGCAGTGTGCATCTTTCGGATTCGCGCACGAGGACTCTTGGTTTTTGCCGCGGCGGGTCGTGTCGTGGTCTAGCACGCTGACCTTGACTCCGATGCGCCAGCGCGTCTGCAGGAACGCTAAGGGACGTCACGCCGTGTTATCCCGAGCGGTGTTTCCGCGCGGTGTGCCGATCGCGCGACTGGCGATCCTCTTGTGACACGCGAATGACCTTGACTCTTCGGCGAGGCGGCGTTTCGATATCGCCGAGTCGAGCGGAACCGGTCGGTCGCTCGACTCTCCACGTCTTCTCGTCGTGTCCTTATCGCGTGAGGTGCGTCGATCGGAAATGAAGTAGAAAGTCAGCCGGTGATCTTCGTAGTCCGGATAACCAAGTGCGCGTTCGCTACCGCACTACTATCCACGATCTTCGAGCCCATCGCGAGGTGTCATCAGCGTTGGGAAACGACGTCCGAGAACTAGCGGAAGAGAACATCCGACCTTGACATACAAGTCCAGGGTATCTACATGGCACCGCGGCGTCACGCCAACGGCGGCCACGGCGGTGGCGGCGGTGGCGGTGGCCTCCTGGAGAACGGGGGTGGCGGTGGTGGCGTCGGCACCAACGATCCCATGGATAACCTTCTGGGCCCGAGCCAGACAACTCGCTGCTGCACACCGACCGGCGAGTGCCTGCGTGGCGACAGCCTCATCCGCCTCAACGCCCTGCATGACGCGGTCAAGGTTACCTGTAACAACGACAATTGCCCGGTCGGTCAGTTCATGCATCGCGAGTGCTTCGACGCCTGGGAGCAGACGGTACTTACGTACCTGAAGAGCTGCGGGCGCGCTCGCAGCTGGTCCGAGCGTCAACGCCATCAGAATCTCTGGACCAAGAAGGGCTACGATCTCGCTTTCAAGGCGTGCGGCTGCCGCTGCGGCCGCGGCCACCTGAAGAAGGACCTCGACTGGATGCCACCCGGCCTCGGCAACGTGCCTGGCAATCGCGCCGACGAGAACGAGGCGAAGAAGAAGAAGCGGCGCAACCGTCAGAACACCCGACCGAGCCTGGCCGTGTCGGCTGGCCCGCCCAATCATGGCAACCACGTCGTGGCCGCAAACGGCCGCGGCACCAGCGAGGCGCAGATGATCGAGTCAGGTCGCGGTCGTGCCGGATCTCTGTCGTCCAGCACCGGGTCCAGCTCGCCGCCGGCTACCAGCGAACCCAGTGTCAGCCCGCTTCATCAGCCGCAGGCCATTATGAAAAAGAAGAGCAAGGTCGACTTTTTCAGCGATCGCGCGAGGTGAGTAGCTCTTCCCTGCTATCGTTTATCGCAATCTATTGACACAGAAAAACGTAAACAAAAAAGCAATTGAGTTAAGACTGACCGTAAGGTCAGTACCTGCGCACATGAAAGAAATATTAGAAATAGGAAAAAAATAAATATTTTTAAATTTTGAAAATGAAAATTAGACGTAGTGCTCAATGAATACATACAAGTATATGTCTTACGCAGGGTTAAAAATTATTTTAAATGTCTTTGGCTATAATATTTTACTTACTATTCAAGTTTTACTTTCAAGTTTATGTTTTTCTGTATACTACTGGTCTTAGCTGAAAACATCGAAAGGCGAGGAATCAACTGTGAGGTGTTACGAAATTGTATTTTTTTAAAGCGTAATGCGTTATCTTTATAATATTGCAACATCGAGATAAAATAATTATTTATATTTATGTATCGCAATTCGGAGTTGCTCGATGATTTTTTTTTTTACAGTAAGATGCATTTTATGGAGAAATAAATTATTTTAAAGAGCTAATACGAATTTTTCAAATTTAGAAGGATAGAATAGTTTGATTTTTCAATTTGCTTGTATAATTATATTGAGAGATTGTTGATAGAGGATATTTGGATATTTTTAGATATTTCGACAAAAAAAAACTTTGCATTGCATCGATTTCATTTCAAACTCTCGGATAGGATCTCGCTAAAGAAAGAAAAGCCGAATCTTTGGATAAGAATGATAAATGAGAAGGAACGCGTCGAGAGTCGTTTTCCCGTCGAAACCTTCGCTTGTGTGTTGTGTGGGTGTGTCTTCCGGGGAAGGCGACACCTTAAAGCAGATGCGTGAGAACGAAAACTATAATGACGCTACTAGCGAGGCTTTCGACGCGATTTATCGAAACGCACACATACACACAAAAAAAATGTAAAATATAGACAGATTGGAATTTAAAGAATGTATGCAAAAAGAAAAGACACCGCATACGATATTAATACTTGTGACGTAAAAACTGGGCGTGGCAATATAAGAAAGAACCGAACATAAAATATTTTCTCTTTTTAGCGGTGAACATTTCTTTTTATATAAAGGCAGGTTTTGTTACGAGAATTATAAATCACGAAATTAAAAAAAAATCCATATTTTTCGTTTTTAAATTCTTATATCTAAGTGTGCGCCGCGAGAATAAATTTCGCCTCGCGCAAACATATGGCAGCAAAACTGGATTCGGTTTCGACTTGCTACTTGGTTCCTTCTTACGTAACCACGTCCCACCGAAACGCAGTTAATCCAGCCGTTTCTTTTATGAGTTTGACGCTCGCCGCGTTTTATGGTCTCCAAATATTTAGATAAAAGCGTACCGCGCAATTTTTGTCGCGGCAGATGGTATCCAAATGATGGCGAAGATTCTTGGAAGATTTCGGCTCGATTCTCGGGACTAGAGACAAGGCGGAAGCTTTAAAGGAACGAGAAAAAAAGGGTCCTTCCTCCCGGTTAGCGTCCCTATATCGCCATTGATGTCGACATTCGAATGCGTGCTAAAACATCTCGTGAAATCAGTGAACGGCAAACGACAGACGTTCGGCTTGTCATACCGACAAATCGATTCCGATTCGTCGCCCCGTGAAATTTGACACCGCTGATTTTTTCGGAAGTGGGAACTGAAAACGGGATGGCGAACTTTACGTGAATTCGACAATGGTCCCAATCGCCGGTTAATTCGCTCTACTGATTTTTAATATTAATCGTTGCTCGCTGATTTCACAAAAGGGCCGCGGAACCGGTTCGCGCACTCAACAGAGTTCTAAAATATGCACGCGAATCATGGGTTCCACGGCACTTTTCAGGAACGCCTCAAAGGAAAAAGGATCTTATTACGGGTAAGAAGTTTTAAAAAAAAAATCAGAGTTCAAAGAATGTTCACAACTAATCGGAACTTTGCTTCTTGGAGCAAAAGGAATTTGCATCTATTACATTAATATGAATCTTGCGCACTTTTTACGCTAAAATCTTAAATTTGAAAAGCTTAAACGGAAAACTTTTAAACCGTTGCCTGCCGAGGTCTATTATAAACTCAGTAAATTATTTAGATGACCGGCGTCCTTATGTTAAAATTTCATAACGTTGCGTGTGTTACATTTACCAATAGTGTCTTTATTTAGCGACAACGTTTATATCGAAAGAAAACATTAATTCGAACTAATGTTTGCACGATTTATATTTTAAAAATATAAATTGTTTTTTTTTTATTCACGCGACGCAACATGGGCCAGAATTGTATCGCAAGTTTTCTCTTTCTTCGACGCGATGATTTACGTTCGGCGGTGTGTATTTTGCACGAGGGAAATAAAAGAGCGGTGTCGTCGTCGGGGAAGGAACGAAGGCGAGTCGTGTTCACGTCCGCGTGTCGTAAAGCAACTCTCTGGACGCGCGTTCGAGAGGGCATGAATGAACGCCGCTGGTCTGTTTTTCTCGTCGCGCATAGGTCGCTCTCTATAGAGCCATCGCGGTGCTATGTGTGCATATGTATGCGCGTGTATATGCGTGCGTATTAGATTGTGCTCTAGACCTCCAGTAAGAGAGCGAGAGGACGAAGGGCAGCGAGAGAGAGGGGGAGAGAGAGAGAGAGAGAGAGAGAGAGAGAGAGAGAGAGAGAGAGAGAGAGAGAGAGAGAGAGAGCGAGCGAGCGAGCGAGCGAGAGCGAGCGCTACACGACATTATGACAGCGCTCCACTCATAGTACGCTCGCACTCGCGCGCGTGTAATCCGCGTGTGCGTGTGTGCATCCTATATATAGATGCAGCCTTGGAAACCTGTCCTATTTCTGTTTATGTTCCTCCAGTTCGACGCGGGTCGGGAACCCTCCTGGGCCTTCTTCGCCGCCGCGTTGTACGGCGTCGAATTTTTCTAGACTTCCGACCTATGCCGTCTGCTGTTTGCTTGATTGAGAGTTCGCTCGCGATGAGCGCAATTTATCTCGCTAAGCGCCATTATCGCAGATAAACGTGCGTGACAAATAATGGCAGGCTGAGGCTGAGAAATGTTTTCTCTCTCTTCACGAATCGCATTTCTTTAAAAACATCCCTGACTCGATAAATCTTAATGGATTTAAAAAGTTATTTCAGACTTACTCACTTTTCTTAAATATGAATTTATTAATAAGCTTTTATGAAGCTCAAAAAAATAATTCCTGATATTAATATGATATTAATATGTGAATATGAATAATAATACTTTTGATTTTTTGATATGATTGCGTATTATAGATGCGTGTATTTTTTCGTAATATAAATGAAATTGATATTTTAATAAAATAAAGTATTCGAATTGCAGAATGAATGTATTCTGATACATACGAAGAAATTTCAATATATTTCAATATACAGGGTGACGCAAAAGTCACTGGACAGTTGGTTAAAAGAAACAAAAGTAACAGCAAGACGTAGTACAGTAGGAAGTTTTAATGTATTTGTAATGACACATAAATCTTTTGTTTACATCAGTGCCCAGTGTCCAGTGACTTTTGCGCCACCCTGTATTTCAATATATTTGGTATGAATAAATATAACTTAAATTGCATCGACTTTTATCAACTTATCAACTTATCAATTTATCAACTTATAACAAACATTCAATTATTTTTTTCCAATAATTATGTCATCTTTTGCTATTACTTGCTTCAGGTTTATTTCAAAATATTTGCGCATTAAATCTTATGATGCGACATAATACGTCGAACATTTTAAAAATATGTTTGTTATTGAATTTTAAATATCCAGATAGTTTATGTCAAAGTTTATCGACTATAAAATGAAGCAAATTCCGAATTTATTTTACATTAAACGTCATCGAATATGCATTCAAAATAGTAATGGAAATAAAAGGCGATATAATTGAAAAATAATTATTGCATTAACCGTTTGTCATCAATTGACACATAGGGCGCTAAAATTGTATTTAAGATATATCTATTCATTTTAAACGCATTTAAAGTATCAGAGAAATATATTCGTCACGTTTGTAATTTAGGCTTGTTTGAACACAATAAGGTAAGAGCTCGTGAGAGCTTCACGTCTACATTTTCGGTTTCATTTTCGTTTCGAGCGCAACCGGGCGATACCTCAAGGCGAGTGCACATGTATCAAGCTGCAACGGCGAGTTTAGGTTGCTCGCGCGCGAGTAGGACGGCCAGGACCCGTTGGAGTTTGTTGTGTATGCGTTTCTGCGTGCGTGTGCGATGCGTGCACGTATGCACAGGCGATTGCTAAGAGTTAGAGGGAGGGTAGAGGGAGAAGAAGACGAAAGAGAGGAGGATGCTTGTAACCTTGACCGTGGCCACCTTCTCAGGGCCACCGAGCGAGGAGAAGCCTGAACGCTCTAGCAGCTTCCAAGGCCAACGGCATGGAATCACGCCACTACGATGCATTTAAAGAGGTAGACAGCGTCGAGAGGATGCTGCTAAAAACCCGTACCCGGTTGCCCGTGCACCTTTTCACGCGCATCATTGAAAAAAATATTTGTTAACTTCTGTATTGCGAGTACACAGTCGGATATATCTTGATCTTTTT